ATTTATATGTGGTCAGACACTATGTATGTACTGGCTATAAATGGTATATATAAACAGAGAAACAATTCCAAGAGGCTATAAATAAATTAATTAATATGAAAACTATAAATTATTCAGGAAAGTTAGCGTATGGATTATGTATATATATATATTAGTGGGGTTATAATACAGGATAGTTAATGACAGATAATAGCAGATAAAAGATATTCAGGTTATATACAGCTATAGTTGAGAAGTGTTGGATCCATAGATGTGTGTGTGTGTGTGTGAGGACAGTCCATATGCAGGGTTTCCGCGGGTCATTAAAAATCATTAAAAGTCATTAAATAATTATTTTTAAAATTAAGGCCTGAATTGGCATTAAAATTCATTAAATGTGATTATTTTGACATTTAAAATGCTTAATAAAAAAAAAGGTTATTAAAACAATTTCTTAAAATATATATTTATTTGCAAATATGCAAATATATCGCAATATATTTGCGCGGAACTGCTTCCGGCTGATCGTCAAGCTGTATATTCGGAAAAGAAGCTCAAGTCGGAGAAAAAGCTGTAGAATGGGGAAAATGCTAATTTCAACAAAAGTGGCTGGAAATCGAGGAATTGTAGCCTGCTGACAGTAAAGATGAAGAATTTGCTGTGTATATATGAGAGTTATGGGTACTTGTTGCATTAAAATTATTTTTAAGAGCATTAAAATAGCATTAAAAAGCATTAAATTAGAGTTGCTCATTCCTGTATAAACCCTGATATGTTATTGTTGTGTGTTGTGATTGATGACTGTTTCCTCTCACAGGGTACCTTGGACAGTAGGACGTCGGGGAACGTGTGAAGCGACTGGACTTGGATTCATCGAGCAGAGCGACTAAAGGGAATGTACAATTTCTCAGAACTGAATCAGCATTACTTGCATTTCCAGGACAATGGAGAAAATGGAAAATTTTTACCAGAACCATCGCTCTTTACTTCAAAAGAAAACAGACGAAAACAACAAAGGGGAACTTTTGCTGAGAGAAAAAGGCGTAGCAGAAAACCGAACAAGCTACAGCGAACAAAGCGGGGCGAAAACAGACGAGACCGACGGAGGAATTAAAGCAGCTTTCTTTGTGAGGAACTAAAGAGACAAACTTCTTCTCCAGGCTTGCTTTGATTTTCCAGACAACCTTAAAGTGTTTAAATCCTTGGTTATCATTTTTCTGCATCATCCTTTTACCTTTTTTATCTTTTGCTTGCTTTGAGGAGATGCATTGGGAGCAAGTTGGGCGTCGGAACCCAGAAAGTCCACTGGGAGACTTGGCCTCGTTTTACCAGTTAGTATTTTATGTTACGGTATTAAACGATCACAGTTATTGCTTTAGCCCTCATTATTTTGTATCCTCATCAGTATTTACCTACGACAATGAAATGGATGTATCCCAGTTTATATTCAAACAACACCTGAGTTGGATTTTTATTTTTCTATACTTTTCTGTTCCTGGAGGAGGAGGAGCCAGAGCGTCTAATGTCTGGAATGTCAGGGTCGAGTTTGCCACAAAGACATTATTGCCTTTGAGAATGGACATCTGTTGCCTTTAAAGAGAAAACTAAACAAAAAAAAAAAACAAGTTATGAATGAGTGAGGAATGCGTGTGTGTGAATGAGAGGAAAAATTACCCGATATCTGGGACTTTGATTCCATTTTTTGGTCCTTTTTGAAAAGTGTTCTTATTTTTCATCACAGGGGTTTTTACGGTACAGATAGTATTCATTAAAAAAAAAAAAATCAGATGGACAGTCTTATTTTTCAAGAACAAAACGTTCATAAAGTGCAAAGAGGAGATAACACTACAGACTGGTGCGTGTTTGCCACCAGAAGAAGAATGGCAGGACGGGACGCCGAGGAGCTTCCGTAGTTCCGGTGAAACGTTCGCTCGAGCGGCACGCGTCAGTCCTCCAGACTGAGACGAATCGGAGCTTTGATAGGCCATCTGTTTTGGCTTACACCAAGCGAGCCTGACCAAGTACCTTAGAGAGGTTTTTCCTACTTCAGTAAGGCAGCGGCGAATGAATCAGAAGATGCAAAATCCATTGCCATCAGATTTCAAAGTGAGTCATACATGGTGTTGTCTTTATTACTTTTTATTGTTATTCTTGTACAAAAAAAAGGTCAACTGAAAGACAGTTACACTATCAAAACCATGCTGTATTAGAAAACCTGTCAATATGTATATGAATTATGAATACACTTAAAAATGCTTCAACCTTTTTGCTTTCTTGTCTGAATTTGCTGCTGTCATGCATGTCAAAGCAAACTTTTTTTAGATTCCCTTTAATAGAAAAGTAACAAAGCAAATGAGCTGAATGACATGAGGCGGGAAACGACCAGCGGCCTTTTTCGCCAAAACTATTCACACACGTTAGTTTTTCTTCTATCCATCATGACTTAATCTTTTCAGTTGGTAGGGAGGGGCTGTTTCACACGGTTTACGCCCTGCACAGACTAAAACCTGTTGGGGCAAGTCTAGGTAGGGCATTCATTGAGGTGTAGTAGTCGGTGATTAAATGGCCCAGGGCTGACAGATCTATTCAAAGAAAGAAGAAACAATTGAAGATTCTGAAAGGCGGAGGTTTTATTCCGACTTCCTTGTTCATAAAACAGGCAAGATGCTGCAACAGTCTGGGAACCATCAGACCACAAAGATTACATGATCTATGGAGAAACATTTTGCTATGGTGTTTTCAACACCATGAAATCGTATTCGTTGTTAAAGGTTTTATATTTTCTTTTTAACCTATAAAGTGGACAAAATTACCAAAAACACCTAAAAGTACCTGCTGTTCTTAAACCATTGGGGGGGTCCAGGCCGCCATATGCAGCTGATGCAATGGCGGACAGTAGCCTTATTGTGGCAGATGAGGCTGCAAATTTGGAAGCACTGCAGACGAGACCTGACAGTTAACGGGTTAAAACTTCCATGTCAACTATATGTATATTTCTGATGACATATTGCCTTTGGCACAGTAGAGTATTAATCTGTTATGACATAGTTGTTTACCGGTGCCATTTTTCCAACCAGGATGAAAGAGCTGCTTCCTGGAGGGCGTGGGTCATCACTGCTCTGCACAGATCAGAGACGATCATTGGTTTTCCTGGTCAGGAAGAGCCATAAGGACAACAGACCTGCATGAATCCAGATAATTGGTGAAGGAATAGCACTGTAAAGAAGTTTGTCATATAAGCCTTTTAAAATAGTAATTCCAGCCTAATTTTGCCACCCGGACAAATTTCATGTCTTTTAGCAGTAAAAACACACAAATAGATTTTTCTGTTGACCATTGGAAATAGTCTGACTAACCTTTAACATTTCAAGTAAAAAGTAAACAAAAAAACATTATTTATTTTAGATGCGTGTCTCCATTTTCTACCAAAAAGATTTTTTTGTGTAATGAAAATGCTATTGAAACCATCCTCACTTTATGTAAAATAGTGAGTGCCCCTGTAATACACTTATTTTACACTTTACAGGGGATTTTCTTTTCCTTTTTTTTTTTTTTTTCCTAATTTCATTTAATCCAAACAATGGAAGAGTTTTTAAATGATAAATGTGACTCGGGTATATCAAGGGTACCATTTGCAGCAGCTGTTTGCCTACTTTAGTAAAATTAAAGTGCAGACTTTGATTAGCCCACTCTCCAATCCCTTCAATCTTTTAGCAGCAGTCCGATGTGAATTGGCTGGTGTGCTTTAAATTGTCTTGGTGCATAAGGCTAAAAGCTAACGGCTCGTAATGCTCACTAGAGAGGCAGAATTTGGGGTTCCATCATTTGTAGTAAGTTTTTAAGTACCAGATAAACAATGATGATCACAGCACCCCCACCTGAGATCGGTGAGATCGGTATTAGTTGGCCTGTTGTCCTCCGAAGGTTCAACACTCCATCTTTAGGATAATAGAAATAATGGCGTGTATTTCTTTTTATAGACTAGATGGTGAGGAATTTCTTTTCTGTAACTTTTTGCCTACTTCCTGTTGTCAGTCAGGCTCTATTTAAGGAATCTCTCTAGTTTATAGTTCAGGCATTAGTAAGGCTTAGACCTGACAAGTTAAATTCAAGTCAGCTTTTGATATTCTGGGTAATCATATAAACAAATATGATATATACACGTCATATATATATATATATATATATATATATATATATATATATATATATATATATATATATATATGTATAGACAATTTCCTAATGAAATAAGCTGATTTACTCTTAGAATAAAGAAGAAACTTCTCTATTGTCTTATTCCAAGTGTCTTATTTACCTGCTTCAGTTAAGGACATCTTCCCTTATTTAGATCAGTTTTGTACTAATTCTCTTTCTTATCATGACATGCGTTTTTACAGAAGAGAAGTAATTGATAGGTCTATAAGCTCCAGCCGTATTAATAGCAGATCATAGTTTTCATCTGTCAGAGGTCTGCAGCTTTGGCTGTGTTGCTCACCTTTTAATGCTAAACAATATGCTTAAGCTGTTTTTATTTTGTTATTCTTTTTTTCCGTAAGGGATCAATGGCTTCCTCATGGAGCTATATGCAGTCTTAATAAATAAAGTGTGAATGTTTGTCAGGGTCCACCTAAGGCCTCCTCTCTAAAGGTCAGAGCAGAGTCGACTCCCTTCGCTCATATCTCCATATTTAAAGCGCTGCAGCTTAACCGACGGTATATGTGCCTATGTCAAGGTTAAATCAAACTGAAGTACATGTTTGCGAAGGCTGCAAAGTGTTGGAATAATGGGGGGGCGGGGGCTAAAGCGGATAAAAAAATATTCTAGGAATCAAATTGAAGCAGATGGAGGAGAGCTGTCTGTTTTGGATTTATTCATGCGGCTGGATTAAAGGCGTAGAGTGTGATTGAGAGATATGCTCCTGCTCAGTGGGATAGCTTCATAGGAGTGACAGTCACCCCCCCACCCCTCCGCAGAGGTCAGTGTGATGACCAAAATCCTCCGTCAGTCGACAAATCTGTTGAAGAGCGAGAGGGACTCACCTTGTACTGTTCTCTCAAAGCGAGGAAGGCAAGAAACTAAAGGAGGTAAGGAGTCTTTGTCTCTTATGCACAGTTTGCATCAGTCTGCTGGAGGGTTTCCATGGTGATGGCAGGTTTCCTCCTGTGTATCCTCATGCCACCTGTTATCAGCGGCGGAGAAATGTCTGTCCGTTTTTTTAAAGTTAGTGATGATGACTCTTACAAAAACACTGATTACGCTTCACTGCGATTTATTGGGATTTTATTTGACAGACCAACAAAAACACATCATCACTGTAAAACTGGAAGATAGTCTGTTTGTTTTTTTTAGCTAGGGTAGCTGTAAGTCTTTTCTGTTTGTCTATATCAGGCATGTCCAAAGTTGGTCCTCAAGGGTGGCTGTCTTGCAGGTTTTAGAGGTTTTCCATCTTCAGCACAACTGATTTCTAATGATAGGTGATGAACAGGCGTTTGCTGAGCTGCAAAATTAGATGTGCTGAAGCTGAGAAACACTGAAAGCCTGTAGGACAGCGGCCCTCCAGGACCAGCTTTGGACATGCCTGGTCTATATCAACCCTGTCCATCCGTTTGCAGAATAGATAACGCCCGATTCATTAGGACAGAGATCATCAATATCAGTTTAAGTATCACCACAGATTCTGAAATGCATTAATTGCTGGATTTTGACTGAGACATTCAGACTCACATTTGGTTCCAAATCATTGGTGTCAAAAAGGCTGGATGTGTCACAGTTTTTAATTGATATTTCTTCACAGAAAAGACATTTTTAAATGGTACATATGACTTGTTTTTAGCTACTAAAACAAAAATTGCTGGTCTGTTTTTAGTAGAAAAGGAGAGCTAGGTTTTACATGATCAGCTGTTTTCTATTTTCTTGATCTGAAGCACAGATGTCAAACTCCAGTCCTTAAAGGGCCGGCGTCCTGCAACTTTCGGACATGTCTCTGTTTTAACACGGCTGAATCAAATTACCAGGTGATTAGCAGGATTCTGGTGAACTTTATTACATCCGAATTGTTCAAATCAGTGAGGATTATTCAGCTAAAATGGTAGTGTGGGACCAGTGATCATGATGAGGTAGAGAAAGGAGTCCGTATCTTTCCTGTAATGGTTTCTTCTGGGGAGCTGTAAGGAATCCCACAGTCCTTTGTGTGGCATGACCTGAAGCACAGTCCCCCATTTTAGAAATTGACAAAAATGCATTCCATGTTCACACCGTCATATGTTTGATTCAGGTGTGTTGGACCGGGAACATTTTAAAGGTTGTAGGATACTGGCCCTGTAGGACTGGAGTTTAAAATCCCAGATCTAGAGCAGAATTAGTCTATGGTCAACCACTGCAGTTTTATTTAACAGGTTACTTTTCAACAAAACCTTTCAATTGTAGCTCTGGTTGAATTTGCAGGATCATTTTCTTGCTGAAGTTTAACCTCAGTCTCAGATTTTTGGCATCCTCTTTCTGAGTTATCTCATATTTATCTCTTTATTCTCTCCAATAACTACGAGGATGTTCCAATAACTATCCTCACAGCATGATGCTCCCATCACTATGTTCCACCCTGGGGTGTTTTCTTGGTAATGAAAATTCCAGCTGCAAATGTCTTCAGCATGGAGTAGCTTCCAGTATATTCCTGAAAAAGAGTATTCCACACAGCATAAGCCCACCGTTACCATTTTTGGCTGTCTTCAAATTAAAATAAAGACAGAAATCTAGGGAGTGAATTTTGTTCCATTATTGTTGCAATTAAAGAACATGTTTTGTAAATGGAAAATTGTAATTTTTAGGGTTTTTTTCTTCAAATTTATTTTGAAAATGCAAAATCATATTTTTTTTTTTACAAATTTATTTTTAAAAAGTTTTTTTTTTTTTTTTACCGATTTTGTATTTTCTTTTACTTTGCTTTCTTGTGCTTTTCTTAAATTGCATTACAGATGTTCTCCACTTACCAAATACCAAACATTCTCTCTTGACCTGCACTTAGCTCAATAGAAATGCTAATATCAACACATCTGTTAAACACACATTTGTAAAACTCATTCAGATCAACAGAACAAATAAAAACCTTTTAAGTTTTAAATGTGTGAAGAAGAAATATTTGGGGAAAAAATGGAAATACAATAAAACATGGGAAAAATTAGAGAAAAAAACCCAAAACCAATTTAGAAGAGAAGAGAAAATGGCAAAGATACTTGCAAAATCTTTATATATATATATATATATATATATATATACGGGTATATAATATGTTTTGCATTTATGCATTTCTGAAATGCATTTTTGTTTAAACTTAAAAAATGCTTGCAGCAAGGATAGAACAAAATTCACTTCGTATGGAACAGCCAACCCCATTTTTAGTTACCAATGTGTGCTCTGCTATATTTCTACTGCAAAGAATTTTGCTTACCGTTACTGCTTCCCAAGGCGATGGGTTGAATGCAGAAGTAAATTTCTCCATTGTGAGATCAATAAAGTTCAATTATTATTATTGTGTTTGCTGTGTCTCCTGCATATTTTGTGAGAAACTGGCATGTTTTATAACCTAATTCTGCTAACTTCTACAATAATTCACAGAAGGCTTCACAGAGCAGCTGGAATTGGTGTGACTGTCTACTAATCTGAGGATGAAACCTGTGGGGTTGCATTTTATTAAGGAAATATATGATTTAAGGGGGATGAATGCTAATATGAGTCACACTTTTCAGTTTTTTATTGTAAAAACGTTTAAACCATGCATCTTCCTTCTTTCTCTGCGCATTTAAATACTTTGAGTTAGTGTGTTAAATAAAATAATTAGATACATAGAGGTTTGTGCTGTTCAACTGAAGTTTAAAAGGTTTAGTGAGATGTAGTCCACTGGTTCTACTATCCTGGAGACCTGGTGTTAGTTAACAAAGTAGGTAAAAGATGGATAAAATGTATCGTCTTTATTTCATCCCTTTTTTCTCTCTCCAGCCGGCTCCTCCTATGATGACCTTCCTTAAGAGAGCTCGTTCCCCTTCCCTCTCCTTCTTCCAGACAGTCGTGTCCCTCCTGCTGAGCACCGTGGCCCTCACATCCCCCTTCTGGTGCACAGGCAAGCAGAAAATACCCAAGCCGCTCTGCACGGCAAACAAGATCACCCGATGCATCCCTGTGCCCGGTTTGTCCAACAACTCTAACATCCAGTTCTTCTGGGAGACGGGTGACGACCGCTTCGTCTTCCCCACCTTCCACACGGGGCTGTTCATCATCTGCGAGGAGAACATCTATGTGGACGAATGGGGTGAGAGCACCACTGCAGGGAGATGGGTCCAGTCAGCCAACCCTGAATAGAGGAAAAACTAAATCACAGGTGGAGGGTGAAGAAATATGTTGCTCATTTTTTTTCTGAGTGCAAAAGTCAGAGGAGTAGCAGCCTAGTGGTAAGAGCATATGGCTTGGAATCCTGAGGTTCTGATTTCGAGCCCCCCTCCCACAGACTGCCACTCTTGCTCTCTAAGCAAAGACCCTTAACCCCACATTTCTCCCTGGGCACCCATGATTGCAGCCCACTGCTCCCCATGGGGATGGGTTAAATGCAGAGGTACATTTTTCCAATGTGAGATCAATAAAGTTCAATTATTATTATTATTGAACGTATCACCAGCAACCCTGAAATTGATCACATAGGTTGAAAAAGACTATTTAATGCAAGAAATCTGCATTTCTAAGGATGCTAATTCATTTTTACATGGGAAGCCTTGGAAATCAAAGCAATCTGTCTGGAATTTCACTGAAACAGGAAACACATATTTGGCATAAACTTTGTGTCTGTACCAATACAAGGCAGGATACAGAAAGGTTGGATAAAACATGGATATATATATATATATATATATAAAAAACTATATAGATAGTTATAGATATGTGTGTGCGTGAGCCTGTAATGCTGTGTGCCGGGCCCAAAGAAGATTATCACCGGGGCGAGTTCTGCTCACAGAGATTTAGACTGCAGCAGCATGACTCAATTATGGATTAAAAGCCTGAGAGGGGAGAGGTTAACAGGATTCACCAACATGGGCCGGGTTATCATCGTCTCGTTTGCAGCTGATTAGATGAGCTAAAACTTTTTTTTTTTCTAAATCACCAGTCTAACCTCCTTGCAGTCGACCAGAGCAGTGAGAGTTTTTTCCCACATATCCGTCTCCATAAATGGAACAAAGAAAAATAATTTAAACACACACACAGCCTTCCCCAAATGTTTGTTCATGGATGTTTTCTCGATTTCTCTTTCCTCCCTTTCTACAGAAACCACATTTCTGGAGTGAACAGAACAGCCAGTAGTGATCAGTTCAGTCGACCTCTTGGCATCTTTTAAGTTTTTTAATTATTGGTTTTAAGTTTAATTTATTGCTACAAATTGCCATATATATTTTCTAGCAATGCTTTAGTACTCTGTAGGTTTCTTGCTGACCTCTCTGCCATGTCATTTGGTCTTCATGATTCTGTCTGATCACTTAATTCCTTCCTGTTAAAAGGGAGTTTTTCCTCTCCACTGTCGCTTCAATCATGCTTAGTGTGAGGGATTGCCTTCGACTCAATGAGTCGATGCAATCAACTGGTTTTCCTTAGATAGAAAACTGAATTAATTTGACTGGATGATCTGGCGAACTGTAAAGTGCCTTGAGATGACATGTGTTGTGAGTTGGGGCTACATAAATAAACTGAATTGAATTGAATTAATTCTCCAAACAACATCTGAGGCCGTAACACAATAGCTGCATTCAGTCATACACAGATCACTTCCTTTCATTCTGAAGGTGCTTGGGTTTTAATCAGGGCATGGACGGTTCTAGACAGGGGCCGAAAAGGGCCAGTGCCCCTATGGAACTGGATCTGATGCTCATTATGGCCCTTATACTAAAGAATTAATACTAACAATTAAATCAGATCATATATGTTTGCACACAAAAATGTAACAGAATGGATTTTGATTTTTTACAGGTTTACTTCAACAAATGTTAAAGAAATGTAAGATGTTGTTAAGAGAATTCCCAAATTTTCTCCCAGACCCATTATAAATGTCATGGGTGTATTGCATGCATAAAATGTCTCCCAACCTTTTCTGATTGCTCTGCAGCTTTAGAATTCAATTTGTGTTTCACTAATCGTGTCTTTCAGGATTTTTTTGCCGTGTCTAAAAGTGCGTTCTCATGTCGCCATGCAGCTGCCTTCAGCATAGGCCCGCTCCCTGCTGCTGCAGCAGTAGAAAAACGAACAGCGAGGACATTTCTGCATTGTTGCCGACTCAGCGACTTTATTTAGGGTCTTTTCTGATCCCTTTAGTGGATATTTTGCTTTTTTTTTTTTTTAAGCGATCAGCAAAAAATCTGGTGACTTTTTTCTGTCTTGTTGGATACTTTGGTGAGAACACATAGAGCAGTGATCATTCTGAGTTTTCTGTCTTCAGTTAACAGTTATTGAGCGCAGGGACGCAGCAGCTGCAACCTGTGTCTTCAATCAGAGAGCAGAGCGACTGTCCTCCGTTTCCTCATTGAACATGAGTCACACAAGGCTTCCACTTATCAATCTGGATTTAAAATCCAGATTTAAATCTATAATATTTAGCGTTATTTTCTATAACATAGAATAGCTTGTGGGCATGTTTTTAGCTGCCATAGCCGACCACGGTCTGCTCTCTGAGTGCCATAAAATTTTTTGTATCCATAGTTATGTTTTTATCATTTAAATTCAGATGGGTGATTAATAAAATATATTTATGTGGTGTGACAATTTGATAACCCCAATTTTTTTTTTTTTTTTTACACAATCTTAAAAATTTAGCACTTTTAGCTCCAGCCATATTGAGATGGGATCGTAATTTTAATCCACTAGTTTAGGGTGTCCTGAACCGTAAGTAGCTTTTTGGCTCTCTCTTTATACCAAATGAATAAATGTTGCCCCATTGTTGTTTTTTTTCACTGGCCTCCTTTGGTAAAATTGGTCTGAAATAGGGTACCCAACTGCCTGAAAAAAAAGGGGCACCTCATGTGCATGCCAGCTAACCCAATTGCCTTTACCCCTCCTGGTGTAGTGATTTATTCTTAGCCCCTCTTTGTGTGTGAAATGATTTTTTTCTCTATTTTACTCAAATCTGCATTGAATTAGATACATATTTGCTGTGTGCTTTATATTCATTATCGCAGACTTTTTCCACCCAGGTATTTGTTTTTTCCCATTCCTCCTTATATTTCTGCATCCTTTTTTTTTGGAGGAGGCCCATCGCTATTCGAAAGCGCACCGCACCCAAAAGCAATGTCAGGAGTGAATTCTTCAGCAAGTCTGCATAATTTTTAAGACGTCTGGAAGCATAAACTGCACTTTTATTGGTGCAACACACGAAGAGGCTGAGTTCTTCCTTTTTCTCTTGCTGTCCTCACTTGCACCTGTTTCTTTAAGACTCTTAATGTCTCAGTCCATTTGGAGGCCGATTATTGGAGCTATCATGTCAACAGTTTGGTAATCAACCCACAAGAGGCTTAACTAAAAGCTGAGACAGGAGGATGCTGCCTTTCTCTCCTCTTCTTTTTTTGTTTGCCTGGAGCCAAATTCTTCTAAGAAAAGTAATTACTTTCAGTTTGTTTCTCAATGTTTGATTCTCATCAGAAGGTCATAAAAATGAAAAACAAAAAACAACCCATTAGTTTGTGGGGAGGCTAATATTTTTCTTTCCTCTTCCATCCTGGCAGATTTACACCAAACAGATCAGGCAGCGTCCAGCATTAAAAGCTCTTTATGCAAACAGTTTTTTGACATAATAGCTTAATAGGTGTGTTTAATTACATTTTAGGTTTCCTACTAGAGGAAAAAAAAATATCTGATATAACAGATAGCAGCTACGTTCTCTGCCTCAGAGACCTTTTATTCATAAATTTATTATCTTTGTTTTTTTAGAAGAGAAGTGTCGAGGCTTTTACAGTTTGACTCCTGAATCAGAGGAAGGTAAATCATTCATCTTCATGCTTATTGATAGATTGAAACTCCTGCCTATACGGTTGTTTCAGCTCCTCCATTCTTCCTCTGCAGCGATGATGTGGCTCTGTCTTACACTGGAGTTCATGTATGTTGGTCTGCTGCTGGTCAGCTGCCTGCTGCTATCTGGCCAGCTGTGCATCAGGGCCTGGTTCCCCTCCACGGTACGCTGGGGCCAGTTGCTCAACTCCTTCGCAGCTGTCTTCACAGTTCTGGGAGGTATATCTAACACTACCTCAGATTTATGTTTTGATTAATGGTTTTAATGTGAGTGATTTACCTTTTTGGGGGTTTGGGGGGTATTTCTTGTACCGCAGGTCTGCTGGGAATGGTGGGTCACATGATGTTCATGCAGGTGTTTCAGACCACTGTTTCGATGGGACCAGAGGACTTTAAACCTCACAGCTATGGCTACTCCTGGGCATTCTAGTGAGTAAATTAGACATTTCACAGACACCCTGTAATCTGAAACCACGTTGAATTTTGATAAATGTCTGCAGGTACTGCCTCAAATATAAGGTTTAACTTCAAAGCATTCATAAATTTGTTGGAAAATTATTCTTAAGGCCAAAGATGAAATGAAAACCAAATGAAAACATACCCCTAAAAATGATTTTGATATTCCAACATCGAACAAAATGTGCATCTTTGACAGCACTAATGGATCTTTACATTCATTCATTCATCCACTGTTTTCAACATGTCAGATCAGATGTGGGGCTAACAGGTCTAGGAGCAGAATCCAAACATCCCTCATCATCCCAGAAAAGTTTCTCCATCTTATCAGGGATGATCCATGGTGTCTGTTTCTCAAAGCACGTTTACTGAAAACTACGTTTTCTACAACTGAGATCAGGGAAACAATTTTTCCGTTTCACAAAGACATTTACTCAACCTCTGTTTCTGTTACTGTAGTAACATTCTCTCCAGAGCTAACTTGGTCGGGAGCAGGTTTTCCTCAGTAAAATCAGTGTCCACTGTCTCCGCCCTCCTTAGAGCCAATCATGTTTTATTTCCTGAGTTAATCAGCAGAGTTCTGTCGTAGTTTTGTGCATACAATTAAAAGGAAACCTTTGTCCTTTAGACATATTAGGTGTTAAAAATACAAACATAGCACCTCCCTTAAATGAAATTCAATTAAAGGATGGAAAACAAATGGAACAAGAGAGAGAGGGATTTTAATGTTAAAGCCCCCTGCCATTGTAGACTTCATATAAACTTACATATTAACTGTGCAGCAATCTTCTCCTACTCAATCTTACTCTACTTTGCAGCTGTTGCTCTGTCTTTTAAACATTGTCTCCAACTGGTTTTTAATTTCTGTAATTAAATGTCTAGGATCCAGTGGGATGAGATAGGCACTTCCTGTTGCCTGCTGTCATGGTGACTCTTTGAATCATTGGACCTACTCATTATACATATAGTCATTAAACATTTAGTCCCCCCAGTAAATTCGGTGTTAAACTTTGCAGTGACAAACCCATAAAATTTCAAAAGAGAAACAATTTGACCAGAGAACCAAACCACCTCAGAAGTAAGTGGCCTAAAATAAGGCCTTCCATTAATTGTTGTGAAGATGTCAAGGCAAAACTTGAGCTCCTCAACTGCTAATGCCAACTCCAATTCCAAGCCTCAGATTTAAAGGACTTGACTCATGTCGGTCACTGTACATTCAGCTCAATCATACTGGCCAGAAGACGTAAACAGAAGCACATTTTCTTAAAGAGCGAGGATGAAACCCTGATTCCGATACTAGCTACCATCCTCCTATTGACCAAGTCTTGATATCCTGACCAAAGACAAAATTAACAGGATTAATGACAAGGAGCAGCCCCGACACAGTGTCAAGCCTTGTCCCTAAAGCCGGGCGTACACTGCACGATTTTTTAAATTGTTGCATGCAGCTACAGCTCACATTGTACGACGAAAGCGCAGGGTTTAAAAGTGCACAGCTCACCATGTACATTCTCACACTGTGCGACCCAACTATCTGATGTGATCTACCTGCTCACACTGTACGTCTCGTCTATCCGGAAGCCAAACAAGTGGAGGAGGAATACGAAGCTCATTAGAGTGAAACGTGCTGCCTTGACAATTTCTGCAATTTTGTGTGCGGAAAGCCCTAAAAACAAGGGGCGACGTATTTGGAAAAAGACATGGCTGTGCAAAGGTGGCTACTATGGTCTGTCAATTTTAAAGAAAGAACTCTATTTCAGTCGCACCCCCACCATGCTTCTTTGTTTTTGTCTGAGAAGAAGAATCCTTGTTTGTCCACTGAGTGATTTGCCCACGATGGCCGGCTGAGTTTCAAACACGTTTGATTTTATTTGATTCCTGATTGGGAGGTGGTCGTGAGTTGCTGATTGCCCCTCGTTACTCCCGTACACTACACGACTCAAAACGCACAATCAGGCTGAAAGTCGGCCCGATTGAAAAATTCTCGCATGACAGGAAAATCGTCCCGAAAAAGGCAAAAAATTGTACAGTGTACGCCTGGCTTTAGGCACATAAAGATCAGATCAATGAATTCTAAACGTTCCCTTAGCAGTTCTGCAAAGGTGTCCATCCATGGCCATGATGAAAGGCACAAAAAAAATGAACTTCATTGATCTCACAGTGGAGAAATTAACTCACTTAACTCATTAAGTACATTTAAGCCATCCCCTTGGGGAGCAGTGGGCTGCCACCGAGCAGCACCAGGGATTAAGGGTTTTGCTCAGAGACCAAGAGTGCAGGTTATGGGGATCGAATCGGGTTCTTGCAACCTTCTAAGAGCAAAAGCACACTGCTCTAACCAGTAGGCCAACACTCCCCCATGGTGCTTTATGTGCATCCAAAGAGAAGCAGAGGCACATGTTCAAACAATGATCAGCTTTCTTTGGGGAAAATATAACCACAAGTCTAGTCTGCCTTTAAACATTGGCACCAGTTCTCTATGTGGCATTAGTGTGGCACTGCAGCTAAGACACCCCCCTGGTGAGCATAGCATTCAGGAAAGAAGGACAAATCTCAGCCATTCCTGTTCAAAAATGCCTATTTAACCCCAAACCGAAAACAAACAGTCAGATCCCACTTGGAGATTGTGACTTGATAAGGATATCCTCAAAGTTCTCATTCCATTGGTCAACAACCTTTCTAGTCAAGGTCCAAAACACACCTTGGGCCCTGTTTTTTTTTTTGTGTGTGTGTGTGTGTCTCATTCACAACAGCATCTTAACTTGCAAACAAGATAAATTGCCATGAGATTCATGAATTGACAAACTCCTGAAAACCCACTTTGTCAGAACCCAGTAGATGCATTAGCCTTGAATACAGAAATGTCTCAAACCAATGAAATGCAATGATGGGATGTCAACCAGAAGCACAGACCCCACTTTTCAGTCTATGAGCTGGAATACCCTCTATTTCTTTTTTGCAATACGAGCAAAGGGACACGGTTTGTGATTGGGATAGGAAAGATGTCTGCGTTATACTCCAAACCGGATTTGACAAGAGTTGGATTTATCAGTTAACTACACTAGTTGAGAAACAAATCAAGAATGTGATAAATCACAGCTCCTACTGCTGCTGCGATTGGCTGAAAGCTCGACATGGGATGCAGGTGTGAGTCGGTGATATTTACCCAACCAATGCTAAGAATTTTACTAAATGTCCCTCCCTTTTGCTAACATTTCCACAGCAGCCTTTCCAGGTGGATTCTGTGTAGAGTTCAAATTGAACTACACCTATCAATCTCTTTATGAAAGATTGAAGAACCTCCTAAAGGACAAGGACATGTCATTCTCTATTGCCTCGATAGATTCCTCACACTACCCAGGTTTTTTGATTTTACATCAACAGAAACAGAATCTTTAGGGATGCTTGATACCTGCCAGCTATTTTAATAGTCCTCAGAAACAAACAAGCTTAAAAGGACTTACTTGTTCAGCTGACAATATCCGTTACTGCTGGAATCCAGCAACTGTTGGTGCAGTTGATGTCAACTTATTGGGGCAAATAACACAACCAAACACATGGCTCACATCAGTTTACATGATGTGCTTCTGATATTAAAGGTATTGGAGGATTTTCGCAATTTTTTATTAAGACCCGCCCTCTCCACTTAAAAAAGAAAAAAATGCAAGAGGTAACGCGCGCGCGAGAGAATGCAGGAGCCCGTTTCTCCTTGTGCACTCTCTCTTCAAAAGTTGCTGTTTGCATCGCTCATACAAGCTCACTTTCCAAAAGAAGATTTGCATTTTTTCCACTATGTCAGACTCACCACCGGTAGGTGTAAATGGGGACAAGCACGTAGGACAGCTTTACATAAACAAATATCACCAGACTTGATGACAATTAGGAGGACCAATTATTTTGATGATCCACCCCGAAAAAGAAAATCCTCCACTGTCCCTTTAACTTTCCAGTATTCATTTACATCCTTAAAAGTTTGGATTTAAACTGAC